AAGTTATCTTACTTTGTGAATTTGTTCTTATCATTCTAGTTTTCTTCTAATTGATGATGCTTTGTGTTGCAGGCCTATGATAAGATGTATGTGAATATGGCCAAGGCAAATAAGAAGATCCAAAGACTAAAGAGGCGCAATGAGATGACTAAAGACAAAATAGCAGAGGCGCAAGAGGCCATCCAAGAAAAGAACGTCCTATTGTTGCAGAAGGCGGCGCTGGCCAGAGAGGTGGAGGAGCTGAATCGGTCGAGGGCCGAGGAGGTAGCTGCGGCTCGGGCTGAAGTGGAGCAGAAGAAGGCTGAAGAGATAGCTGCTGTTAGAGCCTAAGCAGTCGAGTCGTTTCGGAGTTCAGAGGAGCTGCGAAGTTACATCATGGATCGGATGGTGGATATCTAGCTGCATTGGGAGGAGAGGCTAGCGAGGTTCAACCCTTCAGTTGAGATTAACTTTGATACGAGTGGCAAGCCTCCTTCACCTAGTCCTACCACCGAGGCCACTCCAGAGCCAGAGCCAGAGCCAGCTACTACGGATGCCCCTTATACCGAGTCTTGAAGGCGTTGCCTTCTTTATGTACTTTAGTTATTTGTTTGGAACACTTTATGTTTATTTTTACTTTGCATGAACATTTGGCCTTGCTTGGGGCAAGGTTATTTTGATTTGCTATGATATTAGACTTGTTGTCATTTGATATCAGTTGTGCTAGCATAATGATAATCATGTGATTGATGAGAAATAGCCAGAGTCGGGCGTTTCATTAAATAGGTGCCGAAAGGCAGAAAATACAAGAGATGGTTGAGGCAAGGCTCAAGGTTAAAGTCTAAGAAAACATAATGCCCTAGGGTCTAGATGTGTTTACCTATAGTAGTACTTGAGGTGATTAGCGTTCCAAGGATGAGGCAAAGTCTTGCCTTTGGGATCACGAAGCTGATAAGTGTCGGGGCGGCAGACTTAGGTAATCTCATAAGGGCCTTCCCATGTAGGGCCCAAGGTAGCTTCAGTAGGGTTCTTGGTGGCTAAGGAAACCTTGTGCATGACCCAGTCCCCAATCTTGAAAGCACGGGATTTGACTCGGGAGTCATAATACTTGGCGATGCGTTGTTTGTACGCGACGTTGCGCATGTTGGATTGGTCACAAAGCTCGTTAATGAAGTCGAGATTCAGGGCTAACTGCTCGTCATTGGCCTCGGCATCATAATTGGAGGTTCGGTATGTGTGCTGGCCAATCTCCACTGGTGCCACGACTTCAGTACTAAAGGAAAGAGAGAACGGTGTTTCTCCTGTTGAGGTACGGAAGGTGGTGCGGTAGGACCAGAGAACCTCTGGGAGTAGCTCTGGCCAGCAACCCTTGGCTTTGTCAAGCTTGGTCTTCAGAGTCTTCTTAATGATCTTGTTCACAGCTTTAACATGGCCATTGGACTGAGCATGGGCTGGGAAGGCGAAGCAATAACGTATCTTGAGGTTGGAACAAAATTGCTTGAACTTGGCGTTGTCAAATTGCAGACCGTTGTCTGTGATGATGGTGTTGGGGATGCCAAAGTGACATACAATATTCTGCCAAACAAATGTTTTGATGCGAGCTGCAGTGATGGTGGCTAGGGCTTTAGCTTCAGCCCACTTGGTGAAGTAATCCACAGCTACAACTGCATACTTGACCTGACCTTTACCCTCAGGCATAGGTCTGATGAGGTCAAGTCCCCATTGGGCGAATGGCCAAGGACTGACCATGGTTGTCAATGGTTCGGCTAGGAGTTGTGGAACATTGGCAAACTGCTGAGACTTGTCACATTTCTGGGTGGAATTTGAAGCAGAAGGCGTACTCAAGGACAACTTTGTCTGGGGAGATGAGAACGAGGCTGGCCTTACATCCCGGGCATTGGAGGAGCCATCCACATATAAGGTCCACAAGGGCTAGGTTAGGTCGAGGGTACTGTTGCTGGCGACGTGGACCTAGCTCGAGGGAGGATTGGGTTCAGTTATTATCTGAGGAACGACCAATGCTTGGGGTTCTATGAATCTGATATGAAGTCAGCAATAGTCTAGCCCTTCTTAGTTGGGCGGGGTTTGTAGTGGATATCAAATTCACCCAGCTCAATAGCCCACTTAACCAACCTGCCATAAGTCTCTGGCTTTTGTAATACCTGCCTTAGTGGCTGGTTGGTTAAGACATGGATGGTGTGAACTTGAAAGTATGGTCTGAGGCATCTAGCTGACATTACCAGTGCAAAAGCCAGTTTCTCGATGTCTGGGTATCGAACCTCAGCGTCTTGCAATCCCTTGTTAACATAGTGCACCAGATGTTCAGCACCTTCATGGGGGGGATGAGCACTGAGTTAACTGCGGTGGTCGAGACGGAGAGGTACATCGTGAAGATGTCCCCAGGCTCAGGAGTCGAGTAAAGGGGCTCGACTCATATACTCCTTGAGCTCGCTGAAAGCCTTGTCGGCAGTCCAGGTGATGTTTCGCTTGTTGCCCTTAAGTGCCTTGAAGAAGGGGCGCTGCGATCAGTGGCCTTAGAGATAAACCTGGTCAGGCCGCGATGTGTCCGATAAGGCTCTGGATGTCCTTGACTATCTTGGGTATCTTCATGTCTAAAATGGCCTTAATCTTTTCTGGGTTAGCTTCAAAACCCCGCTAGCTGATCATGGAGCCAAAGAATTTTCTCAAAGCTACGCCAAAGGCACACTTCGTGGGGTTGAGCCTCATTTTATACTGTTTAAGATAGTGAACATGGCAGATAGGTTGGGGATGTGTTGGTCAGCAGTGCAACTTTTGACTAGCATGTCATCGACATAAACCTTCATAGTGCTGCCAATCAGTAGGGCAAACATGCTGTTCACAAGACACTAATAAGTAGCCCCGGCGTTCTTGAGGCTGAAGGGCATAACCTTGTAGCAGTAGAGGCCATGGTCGGTGATAAAGGATGTATGGGCTTGGTCATCAGGGTGCATGAAGATTTGGTTGTACCTGGAGTAAGCATCCATGAAGCTAAGTAGGGTGTGGCCAGCTGTGGCATCAACAAGCTAGTCAATTTGTGGTAAAGGGAAGCTATCCTTCGGACAAACTCGATTGAGGTTGGTGTAGTCTACACACATGCGCTAGCCTTTCTTTGGTTTACGTACCATCACCACATTGGCTAGCCATGTGGGATAGTCCACCTCTTTGATGAATCCGATGCTACTCAGCTTATCCACCTATGCTTTCATGGCCTCCTATCTCTCTTGGTCATAAGCACGATGCTTCTGCCGGACGGGTCTAATGGTGGGATTAATGCTTAGCCGATGGGATATGATGTCTGGTGATATACCAGGCATGTCATTGTAAGACCAGGCAAAGACCTCAGAGTTGAGGCGGAGGAAGGCGACGAGGTCAGAGCGAAGCGCTTGTGAGAGGGAGGTGCGCTTGTGAGAGTAACTGGCCCAAGGTCTTCCACAGGCTCAGCCTACTGGGTGACAGATTCCTCCCTGGGGTCTTCGGGTCGTTCAGTGCCAGCTCGAGGAGGGGATGGCGCCTTGGTTACTGCTAGGGCCTCACCCCTATATTGGCGATTGGTGGATTTTACTACTGAAGCACAACAGCTTCTGGCGCCAAGTTGGTCGCCGTGCACCTTGCCTGTGTCATGGCACGTAGGGAACTTCAGTAGCAGCATATGTGTAGAGATAAAAACCTTCATTTAGACCAAGGTAGGGCACCCAAGGATGACATTGTAAGCTATGAGGCAATCGACGATAAGGAAGGGAGTAGTGACTGTCGCTCGCTGGGGTGCTGAACTAATAGAGATAGGGAGATGGATGCTGCCAATGAGCTGGACAACATCACCAGAGAAGCTCACAAGGGGTGTGATGCTTAGGTGGGGGTGGGAGGTTGTTCACATATTTATCCAGCTTCCCTTTGGGACTAAGTCCTTTAATGATGTTGCGTAAGGCAACACAAGATTCAGTATCATGGCCACTGAACTGATGAAAATGGCAGAAGACACCTATGTTTAGCATAGGCTTGTTGGTCGGTCTCCTGGGGGGAGGCTTAGGTATTATGGGTGCCTCGTGCACTAAGACATTCTCAAAGATAGTGTTAGAGATAAACCTGGTCAGGCCGCGATGTGTCCGATAAGGCTCTGGATGTCCTTGACTATCTTGGGTATCTTCATGTCTAAAATGGCCTTAATCTTTTCTGGGTTAGCTTCAAAACCCCGCTAGCTGATCATGGAGCCAAAGAATTTTCTCAAAGCTACGCCAAAGGCACACTTCGTGGGGTTGAGCCTCATTTTATACTGTTTAAGATAGTGAACATGGCAGATAGGTTGGGGATGTGTTGGTCAGCAGTGCAACTTTTGACTAGCATGTCATCGACATAAACCTTCATAGTGCTGCCAATCAGTAGGGCAAACATGCTGTTCACAAGACACTAATAAGTAGCCCCGGCGTTCTTGAGGCTGAAGGGCATAACCTTGTAGCAGTAGAGGCCATGGTCGGTGATAAAGGATGTATGGGCTTGGTCATCAGGGTGCATGAAGATTTGGTTGTACCTGGAGTAAGCATCCATGAAGCTAAGTAGGGTGTGGCCAGCTGTGGCATCAACAAGCTAGTCAATTTGTGGTAAAGGGAAGCTATCCTTCGGACAAACTCGATTGAGGTTGGTGTAGTCTACACACATGCGCTAGCCTTTCTTTGGTTTACGTACCATCACCACATTGGCTAGCCATGTGGGATAGTCCACCTCTTTGATGAATCCGATGCTACTCAGCTTATCCACCTATGCTTTCATGGCCTCCTATCTCTCTTGGTCATAAGCACGATGCTTCTGCCGGACGGGTCTAATGGTGGGATTAATGCTTAGCCGATGGGATATGATGTCTGGTGATATACCAGGCATGTCATTGTAAGACCAGGCAAAGACCTCAGAGTTGAGGCGGAGGAAGGCGACGAGGTCAGAGCGAAGCGCTTGTGAGAGGGAGGTGCGCTTGTGAGAGTAACTGGCCCAAGGTCTTCCACAGGCTCAGCCTACTGGGTGACAGATTCCTCCCTGGGGTCTTCGGGTCGTTCAGTGCCAGCTCGAGGAGGGGATGGCGCCTTGGTTACTGCTAGGGCCTCACCCCTATATTGGCGATTGGTGGATTTTACTACTGAAGCACAACAGCTTCTGGCGCCAAGTTGGTCGCCGTGCACCTTGCCTGTGTCATGGCACGTAGGGAACTTCAGTAGCAGCATATGTGTAGAGATAAAAACCTTCATTTAGACCAAGGTAGGGCACCCAAGGATGACATTGTAAGCTATGAGGCAATCGACGATAAGGAAGGGAGTAGTGACTGTCGCTCGCTGGGGTGCTGAACTAATAGAGATAGGGAGATGGATGCTGCCAATGAGCTGGACAACATCACCAGAGAAGCTCACAAGGGGTGTGATGCTTAGGTGGGGGTGGGAGGTTGTTCACATATTTATCCAGCTTCCCTTTGGGACTAAGTCCTTTAATGATGTTGCGTAAGGCAACACAAGATTCAGTATCATGGCCACTGAACTGATGAAAATGGCAGAAGACACCTATGTTTAGCATAGGCTTGTTGGTCGGTCTCCTGGGGGGAGGCTTAGGTATTATGGGTGCCTCGTGCACTAAGACATTCTCAAAGATAGTGTTCAGGGTGGTGAAGACCTCAAACCTATGCTTGGGTTTGAAGGGGAGTGGGGCACGATCACTTGTCCTGGGAGGGTTGCTTCCGCTGGGATGGTGATGGTTGCCATGTCTGCCCTGCTTGCTACTGCTGAAGGTAGGCTGGTAGCTATCCTTCCTTTTGGGGTGCTGGGCATTCTGAGTACTTGGTGTCTGGGCAAAATGTTGAGGTGGGGCTGGGGTGGGTACTGAAGCAAGTGGAGGATCACCAAAGGTACTGCATGCAAAAGTGGCTGACCCACGCTTGGAATTGAAGTATTCAGCCTTGGTGTGAACTGCTGCCTGCTTTATTAGCTCAACAATGTGTTCCAAGGGTTGCTGTGGACCGGGTACCGGAAGTTGGACTCGCGGAGGCCAATCTTGAAAGCACCTAAGGCAGCGCGATCGTCAGTCTCTAGACAACGAGAGTATTCGTGGCTGAAGCGGGCTGCATACTCCCTAAGGGGTTCATCCTCACCCTGCCGAAGCATGTACAAGTCGTCTGCGAAGTACATGCGATCAGTCTGGATCATGAAAGGGTCCAGGAAGGTCTGCTTCAGACTGTCAAATGAGTTAATGGTGCGAGGGTTCAGTCTGTAGATCCAATTCAAGGCCGTAGCACTGAGGGTGGGAGGGAAGATGAGGCACATGCCTTCATCACTAAGGCCCTGGCATCCGAGGGCAAATTGGAAGGAGTGCATATGGGTGAGAGGATCCTCTGTGCCAATGTAGAAGGCCATATGGAGTGGCTTAATGTTCTTCTGCTGGTGGTAATTGAGGATATGTTCAGTAAAGGGCCCAGGTCTTGGCTTCGCCCAGAGGGACTGATGGCTGCGATGCTGCTCACTCTCCAGACGCCGAACCTTCTCGAAGAGAAGCCTCATGGCCAGGTCGGCAAGAGGAAGGGTCTCGGGTATTGAAGGCCTAGAGTGTAGATTGGCAGGGGCTGAGTAAGGTTCCCAATCCTATAACGCTTTAGTGTGATAATTTTCCTAGTCTTCTGAATGATAATTTTCCCAGTCGTCCGAGTCCCCTGCACCTTCTCCAGTGGGTAGGTGGGTAGGCTTCGGTGGGGGGCCTAGGTGCGTCACCCTTGTGTCTTAGAGATTAACAGGGATAGAATAGGGTCTCGTTGACGGTCTAAAAGACGGTCTCGGCAATCTCTGTAGACCTTCATCGGTTCATGGGGCCGGTCATTCGACTGGAAGATGTGAAGGAGCCGCGACTTAGTCGTCTTTAGATGGAGAGGGCCTTTACCCTTGCTGAGCCTAGACTAGACTAGGGCACTACGGTAGGAGTGCTCTGGCTGGTTTGGCTGGGTATGCTCAGCATCCTGGGTGAAGTCACGTTGGGAGCCCTTCAGCGTGTGGTAGTCATGCTCCAGCTCGATGTTTTTGGTATGGAGGTGTTCGTATTTATCGAACATCTTGGCGACGCTGGCCCAGAGGAGCTCTACCTCTGCTTGGAGATTGGCATCTGCTGAAGGTTTCCCTCGAGAGGTACCCCCGCGAGGGGTATGTTACTGAGTATCATGGATATCCTCGGTCGGCATAGTAGAGTGTGGGGTGTAGAAGAGGCGACGGGGCCTGATGGGAGGAGGAGCCAGCTGGGCTGGTAGAGAAAGATGGGGTTCAGTAGTCGTTTCCCACAGACGACTCTAAACTATTGATGCTCTTTTTGGGAGGTCAACTTAGAGATAAATGGATAGCCTTCAGCAGGGGAGAAGGTGAGGACCTTCAGCAAGGGAGGAGCCTGCAGAAGACAAAGTAGGAGAAGCAGCCGTTAAGCTTTAGACACCGGTGTGGTGCCGGTCGAAGGCTCTCCGATGCTTAAGTCAGTTATGGGTGGTAAAATTGGCAGAGCAACAGTAAGAGTGATAGAGAAGTTACCCCTTTTTACTTGGGTACTAAATTGTTGATGCTCTTTTTGGGAGGTCAACTTAGAGCGAAGTGGATAGCCTTCAGCAGTGGAGAAGGTGAGGACCTTCAGCAAGGGAGGAGCCTGCAGAAGACAAAGTAAGAGAAGCAGTCGTTAAGCTTCGGACACCGGTGTGGTGCCGGCCAAAGGCTCTCTGATGCTTAAGTCAGCTATGTGTGGTAAAATTGGCAGAGGAACAGTATAAGTGATAGAGAAGGTACCCCTTTTTACTTGGGTACTATTCCCTATTTATGGGGAAGTGAAAGTGGGAAGTTTGCACAAAGTTTCGATGTGGGACTTTGTGCAAATTGCTGTGGTGGTGACACATGTCTTGGAGATTAGGTTCTGCAATTTAGGAGCTTTGGCAGTCGAGAGTTTCAGCAGGTGTCTGACACCTTGGAAGAGTATCTTCCTTCGGCAGTGGAGAAGGCATATCTGCCTTGGTGCTAGTAGTTTTGAGGATGGATATGCTCGGTTGATTATGGTGTAAACAAAGTTTATGGATGTTATAGAGAGTACCGAAGCTATGAGACTGACAGATGAGGGTTCTATTGATGTTTCAATGGGTGGGATACAAGTACTGCAAATGTAGAAGATAAAGAGTCAAGCCCTAGAAGCAAAAAGCCTAGAGGCATCAATATTGGTACGAGAAAATTGAGATCTCCTGCTTGGGAAACATTTGATTTATTGCCTCTTGGAGAAGATAAAAAAAGGCGTGTGGTAGTCATGCTCCAGCTCGATGTTTTTGGTATGGAGGTGTTCGTATTTATCGAACATCTTGGCGACGCTGGCCCAGAGGAGCTCTACCTCTGCTTGGAGATTGGCATCTGCTGAAGGTTTCCCTCGAGAGGTACCCCCGCGAGGGGTATGTTACTGAGTATCATGGATATCCTCGGTCGGCATAGTAGAGTGTGGGGTGTAGAAGAGGCGACGGGGCCTGATGGGAGGAGGAGCCAGCTGGGCTGGTAGAGAAAGATGGGGTTCAGTAGTCGTTTCCCACAGACGACTCTAAACTATTGATGCTCTTTTTGGGAGGTCAACTTAGAGATAAATGGATAGCCTTCAGCAGGGGAGAAGGTGAGGACCTTCAGCAAGGGAGGAGCCTGCAGAAGACAAAGTAGGAGAAGCAGCCGTTAAGCTTTAGACACCGGTGTGGTGCCGGTCGAAGGCTCTCCGATGCTTAAGTCAGTTATGGGTGGTAAAATTGGCAGAGCAACAGTAAGAGTGATAGAGAAGTTACCCCTTTTTACTTGGGTACTAAATTGTTGATGCTCTTTTTGGGAGGTCAACTTAGAGCGAAGTGGATAGCCTTCAGCAGTGGAGAAGGTGAGGACCTTCAGCAAGGGAGGAGCCTGCAGAAGACAAAGTAAGAGAAGCAGTCGTTAAGCTTCGGACACCGGTGTGGTGCCGGCCAAAGGCTCTCTGATGCTTAAGTCAGCTATGTGTGGTAAAATTGGCAGAGGAACAGTATAAGTGATAGAGAAGGTACCCCTTTTTACTTGGGTACTATTCCCTATTTATGGGGAAGTGAAAGTGGGAAGTTTGCACAAAGTTTCGATGTGGGACTTTGTGCAAATTGCTGTGGTGGTGACACATGTCTTGGAGATTAGGTTCTGCAATTTAGGAGCTTTGGCAGTCGAGAGTTTCAGCAGGTGTCTGACACCTTGGAAGAGTATCTTCCTTCGGCAGTGGAGAAGGCATATCTGCCTTGGTGCTAGTAGTTTTGAGGATGGATATGCTCGGTTGATTATGGTGTAAACAAAGTTTATGGATGTTATAGAGAGTACCGAAGCTATGAGACTGACAGATGAGGGTTCTATTGATGTTTCAATGGGTGGGATACAAGTACTGCAAATGTAGAAGATAAAGAGTCAAGCCCTAGAAGCAAAAAGCCTAGAGGCATCAATATTGGTACGAGAAAATTGAGATCTCCTGCTTGGGAAACATTTGATTTATTGCCTCTTGGAGAAGATAAAAAAAGGCGTGCTAAATGTAAAAATTGTGAGACAATTTATGTGTGTGATAGTAGGTGTGGGACTGGAAATTTGTTGAATCACGCTAAAAACTGCCTTAAGAAACCACATGGTGATGTGAAACAGTTACTTATGTCATCATCTGGATTGCGTTCCCCTAAATTTGATCATATCAGATTTCTTAACTTGTTAATAGAGACAATCATAAAACATAACTTGCCTTTTAGCTTTGTTGAATATGAGGGAGTTAGGGCTTTGTTTGCTTATGTCTCGTCGGATATTAAGTTGCCTTGTAGAAATACTATTAAGGCATGTGTGTTGAGGATTTTTAAAAGTGAAAGACAATACTTCAGAGTTTGTTAAGCTCAGTTCAAGGAAGAATTTGTTTAACATCAGATTTATGGACCTCTCTATGTATTGATGGTTATCTTGCTCTTACTACCCACTTTGTTGATAAAGATTGGAGATTACAGAAAAGAATTATCAACTTTTGTCATATGCCTCCTCCGCATTTTGGTGTTGCTTTTGTTGATATTGTTAACTTTAGATCTCTTCTATTGATGGGTGGTAAGTTTTTTCATGTGCGCTATTGTGCCCACATTTTAAACTTGATAGTCCAAGATGGACTTAAAGAAATAGATTATTCAGTGACAAAGATTCGGGAATGTGTCAAGTATATAAAGGGATCTGAGGCGAGGAAACAAAAATTCTACGATTGTGTCGCACAAGTAGGGATTGGGGGTAATAAGAGAGGATTGAGACATGATGTTCTTACTAGATGGAACTCAACTTATACCATGCTTGATAGTGCACTTTTCTATCATCGTGCATTTATTAATTTAGAGTTGATTGATTCCAATTTTAGTAGTTTCCCTTCTCCATAAGAGTGGATTAAAGTAGAGATGATTTCCAATTTTTTGGGTATTTTTATGAAGTGACATGCTTATTTTATGGGACAAAGTACCCCGCATCAAATTTATTCTTCCATAGATCTTCATAATCCAACACCAAATCAAGGCAGCCATGGATGATGATGATATTTTCATGAACAAGATAGGAACTAAAATGAACATGAAGTTTGAGAAGTATTGGTCAAAGTACAGTTTAATTCTCGCAATTGCAATTATTTTGGATCCTCGTTATAAGTTGCATTTTGTAGAGTGGGCTTATACTAATTTTCACGGTAAGGATTCTCGAGAATTCAAGTGTGTTACAGACACATTGACTTCCCTTTTTCATGTGTACACATAAACTTTATCTCCTCTTCTTAATGCAAGTTATCCAACGAATGAGATAACTAGTCACAATGAAGGTGGAGACACCATTCTTGAGGTAAATTCAAATTATTTCTTATTATTTTATTTATGTATTGTTTCATATTGTATATTTGCATGTAACTAATAGTTGTGTTTTGATTTTGTGTGGTGTGGGATTTTGATAATAGTTACAAAAATGGTTGAAGTCCATGTAAGAAAAATGAATTGCATAAGTATTTAGATGAGAAAAGACTAGATAGAAAGCAAGATATAGATGTTCTTCTTGGTGGCAAATGGAGCATTTTCATTATCCGACACTTTCACATTTAGGAAGTGTTAACAATTCCCATTTCTATCGTTGCATCAGAATCGGCTTTTAGTATTGGCGGTAGAGTATTAGTTCAATATCATAGTTCATTATTACCTCAAACTGTTCAATCTTTGTTGCGCACTCGAGATTGGCTTTTTGGAAATGGAGGTAATATTTATATAACTTAATACTAGTAGCTATTTTTTTTCTTTTATGCTTTTTCCATTATGTGAATTCTTTGTAATTTTTGTTTTTTCAATGCTTAGCAATAGATGAAGGAAGTGCTGAAGTGGAAGGCCTTACTGAAGATATCTTCAATCTTACTTGTGAAGAGACTAGATCAGGACAATGTTCCAATAGTATTTACCTTGAAGATTGATGAAAGGTAACGATAAATGATTGATATTTTATTCATATTGTATCCCTCC